TGAGGAGGTGTCCTGGGTCAGGTGATCTGATGAGGACGATGTGAAGGGCAGGGTATCTCAGCATCTCACACTGTGCACAATAAAACGTGCAGCGAAGAGCATCGTTTATTCTTACAGCGTTTTGCTGGCTGATTTTAAATTTTGTTCTATCACAGGTATCAGCCGACCCTCCGATACAGTTTCCTGACAAGCGGAAGATTTACTGTTTTTTTTTTTTTCATTCCTTAGGCCTGAGTGGGCCTTCATGGACGGAGCTTTCAGTAAAAAGCCATTTTGGAAATGTAAGCCTCTACTCTAATTTCTGAAATGGATGTAAGTTGGACCAATGTGGCGCTGACCGGAACAAACAGCTCGAAGATGGATTTATGGATACGACTAAGTTTGTCTGCTCCCATCTTCGGCACAGAAAGGTTGCCAGCCTCTCTGATCTCATTTTGTTTCTTAAGCAGTAATTTCAGGATGGGGGGAGGGGTTGGGGGTTTTTCAGGAAAAGTCTGCTGATGCATTGTGCTGATGGAGGGGGGCTTTGTCAACTGGCTGACACCCCCGTGGGCATCGATGCCCAGTGGTAATTCAGAGGGCCGGGCGCGATGTATCTCACTTGGCAAGATGGGGGCAATCAGACCCCCCCACCCTGATTCATTCTAACATCACCTAGGGAACACATGCAAAACAGACTAGGACCAGTACTTGGCAGGGGATGGGACTCTACACCAGAGATCCTTTTACAGAATTATTCTGACAATCAATTTATTAACAAGAATCAAACTAACCTGAAGTTACTGTTAAGTTAAGTTAATTAATGTATTTTTTGCAAAGCCCCCTGTAAAGTTTGTACAGTTACTATTTACGGTCTAGCAAAAGATAAAAAAAAAAATATCACAACAATAGTTGGATTCGCATTTTAAAAAGGCTTAGTTAAACACCAAAGCATAAGCAATGTTGAAAAGCATCGCTGGAGTGTTTTTAAAAACATTTTTAAATGGGACATTTTGATTTGTCAGAGAAACCTCATTAGCTTGAAATCAGCTGTGCTTTCCTGTACATTAGTATCCGCACAAGTTGCTGGTCCCCATCACATCTCCCAGAATGCAGTGCAACAGACAGCAATTTACAGCTAACCTGTTTCTAAAACACACTAATATGTGATAATGACCCAGCTAGTTGCTGTAAAACTAACGTAAATTAGAGTTGGATATTTGCTGCAAATGTGTAGTGTACAGCGTATGTGATTAGTGAAAAAATGTAGCTTGGGTCTGCCCGCAGACTTCATGATGGTTGGATGGATTACCAGCCATGTGGTTTTGAAGAATCTAGTTCAGCTAAATATCTATGCTGCTGAGTGTTTTTATGCACGGCGTTGTGGGTAATGCTTCACAGGCCAGCTCTGAAACATCACCTTTTCTGCAGTATCGATTTGGGGGGGCTGTAAATAGGCTGCGCAGTGCAGGAAGGTTATCTTCTAAGGTCTCTGTTTTCACCCCGGGGGCAACATATTGATGTCTTAAGGTCAACGGGGGAAAAGATGGAAAGGTAACATCCATGCTGTCATGGAGAAGCCTCCCGTGAAAGACCTTCATGCGTCTTCACAGTGCTGTTGTCAGCCTCACTTTACCTTTTGAAAATGGAATGAGGTCTTTAAGAGAATGGCTTCATCCCATGCAGCACACTTAAGGCCAAGCGCACTGAGATGCTACCCACCGTGATGACGCATGTTCATGTAAGACGCTAAGAGCACAAGTGAATGTAAAACATCTAAGTACGCAGGGATTTCTTGAAAGCAGTGGGACACATTCGATTGCTGAACAAGTAAACAAGCAACACATTACAACAATGTTGCCATTTGTGTTGGTTGTGTTTGGGGATGTCCATCACAGTAACCTAGACTATGTAAAGATCTGTTATACAACTTTGTGCACTTACAGTGAAATTCGCTCCTAGGAGTTTTACTTAGACAAAAATGTTCTGAGGGCAACTGGAGGGGGCAGGGCCAACCAATCAGATGTATCAAGTTGCTTGGACCCACCTCCTCTACAATGTGATTGGTTATCTCTCTGAATCAATCATTTTTCATTCAGCCCTCAGAACATTTTTGTCAAAGTAAAACTCCCACAAGCTTGTAATTTATTTGGAGGCATGTTTGGCTCGGATAAACTGGTAGACTTCCTCGTGTTCCTCTTGTTCCACCTTTGCCCCCTACATCCCTAGATGTGATCTAGCCCCATCCATCCTGAGCCCCCTGGCAGTATGTTTTCGTGGAGTTCATGGAGATGAACATGGAGATGAAGCAGTTGTGATGAATTAATCAGATCTCAATCAAAGCAAACGGATGCAATCCCCTCATTCCCTGTGAAACTGTGGGCTTCAGGATCTAGCAGCCAGCAGATCAAAGCCCAAAAACCATGTGCTGGGAATCATCAGCGTCTCATTTATTCCACCTCATTTTTTGGAATCAGTTTTACTTGGAATTATTCAGTGAGGTTGCATGACATTACATGCCATCTCTGTCCAATCACAGAGCAGGCTGCAAGAGAGTGCTATTAAACTACTATCTTATTGGCCAGCCCGAGATGGAGGGCTCTTAAGCTAGTTTTTATTGGTCGTCCTAAAGCATAGCACCATTAAACTTTCATGAGGGCTAAAGCAAATACAATCGCAGTCACTTATCTACCCACTCACCAAGCCATACCTGTTGAAGGACATGACCAGACCAAGCGACCAGCCAATCAGAGGCGTCTATTGACTTTGTGCCTTGTATGGGTGAAGGCACTTCCTATGCAGATCGATGATGTCACAGTGACGCACAGCTCAGGTGGTGAGGCTGTTGGTCGCACAGGATGGGAGCCCACAGCATGGTCAGGTTCTCGGTCCGCCCCATTGCTGCCACGCCGGTCACCTTGACGTCCGTGATGTGAAGTCGTCCTACTTATGACGCCGGCTGCTGCCGGTGGCCGCTGGCTAGGTCTCTAACGAGCACAGCCGAGAAGTTCCTCACCCCGGTACCCTTCCGCTTACTGGCCTCACCTTGGCCTGTCCCACTCCGCTGCCCAAGAGGCCCTGAGATCATGACACCATTCCGAAACCCAACCCGCTCCAGCCCTCAGCCTCCTTCCCGTAAAGCTCCCCCATCAGAATGGGCCCCCAGGCTCTGCATCGACCCCCCCCCCCAGTGACTATCGAGTAGTTTGTCATCTGAGAGCCGTGATACATGACCCCTGTTCCTCGCTGACAGCGCGCTGTGGCCCAGACTTAGACCATTACCCCCCAGCTGAGGATGGTGCGCTTGCCGTCTCCATGTCTCAAACCCCACTGCAGCCTTCAGGAGTCTGCTCCTTGCTGACATGGCCACGCCCCCTTTTGGGATGCGTGACGGTCCTGATGGTGACCATGTGTCCTGCTCCATGGGGATGCTGCTGGGCTCGACTCCACCGACTAGCCAGGTAGTGGAAACATCTCTATTCATCTGGAGTTCTTCAGAGGGGCTGTTGGGAATATTCACTTTTATATCCATCCCCATGCTGTTTAGCCTACAGCCTGTAGGGGGCGCTGTCTTGAGACGCCTCATCCACTGATACCGGCATTCTCTCTTCCTGATGTCTGCGGTGTCAAACACTGTCTGGCCCAGCTAATTGCATGCTTGCTAAAAAGGTCTGATTAACCTGCTCAGGCCAATGTTACAAAGAATTAATAATTAATTCACCTCATTAATAATCAAAAGAAGCAGAGGACAGTTGTTACATTGTTCTCTTACCTCTTGTGTTATTTACTGTTTGTTCTGGAGACACATTCAAAATATTTCAAAACTTTTTAGACCTCTGGACATTTTTTTTTTTCATTAAATAGTAACATATTTATTGATCTAATTCCAGTAAATGACTCCGCTTAATGGGAATTTCCTGCTGGCCCAGAGTGAGTCGTTCGCTGATTAATGCCCATCTTCCAGCAGCACCTCTGTATCTTTAAATGATTCATAACCACATATCACAAAAGGCTATTATTTTATTTGAGAGATTAATTGATTCAATTTAAATTACAGTCCCTTTTAAACGTTCCTCAGTAGTACTTGTGGAACAGATCTAATATTTTATCTACAAGCAGTACAAATTAATAACGGATTCCCAGCCGGGGTCAAACATTAAGATTGCGTTTTGTAGATTGTGACTTTAAAACTGCAGCCTATTATGTGCATTCTGCTCATTGGCCACAGGGTGGCAGACTTGCTTCAGAATGGGCATTCGATGATACACTCTCCAGGAAAAACATTGTAGGTCTTCGGCCTCGAGTACAATCCTTTGCATTGATTTAGCACTAATAGGCTGCATAGGAGGGACGATCTTCCAAACCTTTCCTATATACATCAGTTTTGAACAATGTGAAACTAAGCACACTTCAGGATCCCCCTGAAGCTGCTGGACGTCATGGCCGCCCTGTACACTGGTACTGTGAGGGCTATGCAGGAGGGAGATCCTCCGTGTTCTTCCCAGTTGATTCTGGGGTTCGCCGGGGGTGTGTTCTCCTACTCTGTTAAATGCTTGTGTTGGGCGGGGTTGTGTGGTCCAGCGGCTGTGGAGCATTCATTGGTGAAGAAAGATTTACTGATCTTGACTTTGCTGACGATGCTGTGATCTTAGGGGAGTCAATGGAGGCTCTGATCGGGGCTCTCGAGAGACTGAGTGAGGAGTCTGAGTGTCTGGGATTGCGGGTGTCCTGGATAAAGACCAAGATCCAGGCATTTAATGACTTCCTAGGCACAGCCATCAGTAGTGTGTCTGTCTGAGGGGAGAATGTCGACCTTGTTGAGAGATTCACCTACCCTGGCAGTGACATTCATGTCTCTGGTGACTCTTCCTATGAAGTCAGCACATAGACGGGGAGGGCATGGGGGGGTCATGAGGTCGCTGGAAAGGGGTGTGTGGCTCCCGACATCTTTGCAAGAGGATGAAGGTCCAAGTCTTTAGAGTCCTGGTGCTCCCTGTCTTGCTGTATGGCTGTGAGACATGGACACTATCCAGTGGGATGAGAGGAAGACTGGACACCTTCAGTACTGTGTCTCTTCAGAGGATCCTTCTTTACCGCTGGTTTGACTTGGTGTCGAATGAGTGGTTGATAGAGGAGTCCTGAATGAGGCACATTACCTGCATTGTGAGGGAGCATCAGTTACGGCACTATGGCCAGTGTTGTGCATGAACGTGTTCAATGAACGGCATTCATTGAACATGTTCATATTTTCCGTGAACGCTGAACTGAACGAATCAGTTTACAAGTTATGAACGTGAACGTGAGTGACGTTCGCTCTCGCGAGACTGAACGCTGCTCACGTTTTATGACGGTTTTAAACTTTGCCGATTACAGACTGGCGCTTCGAGTTCGGACGCTTCTGTTGATGGTGGTTTGTTTAAACATTTGAGAGATTTAGATGGGAACAACCACACGTTTTTATGCAAATTATGCCCAACTGGTTTGAAAAAACAAGTCCGGACGTCAGGCACATTTGCATCCAATTTGAAACGACACATCGAGTTACACCTTCAAAGCAGTTTTAGGGAATACCTTCATCTTAATGGTGAGCACAAAAAATGATTAACAACTGTTTACTTTTAGTTATGTTCTTTTCTGAGCACTTTAAAATATGTTAAATGGCTGAATATTGCACTTTAAGCAGACGCCTTTTACATTTTCTGTTAATGTCTGAATAAAATTTGCATATACAGTATACACTCTACCTCGTTTTTTCCCTGTTAGCATAACATGACACAAGTGGTAAGATCGATTCTCAACCTCAGAATTGGCTTTTAATGTAACTTAATCTTTTTAATGAAACTCATGTCTGTGATTCTTCAGTGGTATATGACAGA